TCTAACCCCCTTTCTAGCATTCATGGGCACCTTGAGCATCTACCTGCATCCCAGAGACAAGCAAACAATACCAGTTTCAGACTGGGAAAAGGAGGCTCTTTATTATACAATGCCAGAGTAATTATAGTTTAATTATGTAATACCTTTCTTTCCCACAGTTCCACCCCCAGCTGCAGCTAAATATGTCACTTTGCCAGCACTCTGCAAGGACAGTCTGTCATGCAGGATGATGTCAAATGTCAAGCTAGCCACTTTTGTTGAGGCCTCCTGTATGGTGGCCATGTTTATTAAACACACAAGAAAGGATCACGTGATCAAAAACTGTTACCTCGTCACATTTCTGTCTCCACCAGAGAGTGATTTATGTAACAGAATTCATGAATTAGGAAGTGTTAATGATCATCTACATTCCATAACAGCTATGTATGTCTTCTGATGAAGACGGGGTCCCTGGTGGGATAGCAGGGGCTTGAAAGGACTAGCCATGCTGCAGGAGAAAGGTGAGGCTTGCTACTCCAGGGAAGCTACAGGCCTGGAAACCCATCAGGGGCAGTTCTAGTGTGTCCTATCGGGTGTCTAGGAGCCGGTATAGACTCGATGCCAGTTTGTTGTTGTTTTGCATGCTTCTGTAAGCAGCCCTGGTGGCACAGTGTGTTATGTGTTGGGCTGCTGACCGCAAGACCAGCAGTTCAAACCTCCCAGCCACTCCATGGGAGAAAAGTGAGGTTTTCTACTCCCGTAAAGATATGCAGACCTGGAAAACCAAAGGGGCTGTTGTACTTGGTTGGTCCAATAGTGTCATATTGAGAGAGTCAGCACAGTGGCAGTGAATCATTGCCCGTACGTCTCTTTATTACTTAAAAGGCTACGTCGTTGTCTCTAGGTGCCCTCGCACGGCTGCCACCCATAGCGACCCTGTGTCCAACAGGACAAACACCCGTCCTGCGCCATCCTCACCACCGTCCCAGTGTTGCAGCCTCAATGCCAATCCATCTTGTTGGGGGCCTTCTTGTGCCCTGCCCCATCCACTTTACCAAGGATGATGTCCCGCACCAGGGACTCCCCTCGCCTGACCACATGTCCAAAGTGTGTGAGATGAGACTTGCTGACCTTGCTACCAGGGAGCATTCTGGCTGTACGTCTTCCAAGACAGATTTGTCCTTGGCTCTTTCGATATTCTTTGCCAGCACTGTCCGCTTCTTAACTGTGAATAAAAGGCTCTTTAATCCAAAAGCAAGTGTGGGTTATGTGTTGACGGAGAGTTTAAGAGGAGCAGTGTCGTTTAAGAGGGACCATCTATGGTTTCTGTCATTCGTCAGTTTGAGCTTTGCCATCACGGCGTCATTTCCAGTCATCGGTTTGTTTCGCTGCTAACATTTAGAAAGCGGCGCTCCTCCGGGTTAGTCCGTCGGCGTTTCTGATGGGAAGCTCCGTGTGCTGGCACCGTGCCGCCCTCAGGAGTGGCAGCTGTCTACGGAGGACGTTACCCTCACGTGGGTGCTGTGGGACAGCCCCGTGCTGCAGGAGACAAAGCGGCAAAAGCTCAGCCTGGCGCCCCCCCGCCTCACTGCCCCCAGAGCGAAGCGCAGATCCGCAGCAGGTCCCGGTGCTGCGTCCACGCTCCTTTCTCTTCTTCCTCCCAGACGCCCGCTGGGATGTGCCTGGTGTTCAGAACCTGCTCCCAACAAGCTGACCCTCTTCCAGGGGGCCTCAAGACTGTGTGTGTTTTGTTTTGAAAGGTTCTAGAACACTTCCGGGAGTGACATGGGAAATCATATAGCCCACCTTCCCTAAGCCACCATTGACAAAGAAAACACTGAGAGCCAGATGAGCTCTTGACCTGGATGGCTAGCAGGAGTCCAGAATTTATGCCTGGATGTTCTTAGGGGTGGGGGGGAGCTGTATTATCCAAAAATAAATGTGTTCGTGAGAAACAACTTCCTGAGAGTTTACCTTTGCTCTCTGGATCAGCTGAGGGCTTGTAGAAGGTGCTGCAGAAATGGTCACAGGACCCACCCTTCCTGGAGTTCCACCACTAGGTGACCTCTCCATTGGCTTCTCTTTCCAATTTCCCAACTTTTTAATCAGGAGGATGCAAAACAGTACAGACATTTGAGCCACAAGAGTTACATGGTTCCCAAGAAGAGAAAGTTAATAAAGCCAAGGCTTTTTTTTCTACGTGAAGAGTATTAATAATTCATCCGAGCAAGTAAGTCTCCAAACTCTGGGAACATGATTCAAATGGGTTACCTCACTTTTGCTGCCAGATTACTTCAATAGAACTATCAACCAAAAAAGGGCTACAGCACAGAAAAGCAGTGTGGTTCCCCCACCCGGGGGAAAGCATCTGTTGGTTCTACCAATATGTCTTCACCTCAGCTGTTAGTACGAATTTGCTTGCACCCATCGGGAATTGTATTTACTGAAGAGTTTATGCTTCATCAATAATCATAAAATGAATGCTTAATATATTTGAGAGCTTGGATGAAAGCTCTTGCCTTAGACAGCTCTTGAATTGACAAAGAACGATAGTCTCAGGTACTTGTTTGCAAACATGCTTTTACTTTGAGGAAATGCTTGGGAAAGAAAGGACACCATTGTTTGATAAAAATGTGTTATTTATGGCTTAATTATCCATCTCCCAGAGCCGACAAATTGGCCTGTATAGAAAGTATTTCTCCACATAAAGTTTACATGTCTTTCCAAACACTGTCTAACTTCTGGAGTACACTACTGCCTACACAGTAAACGCTTTCCTGCGCTGCTGCTTGGGACTCTGGGCCCAGATCCCTAGAAAATACTAAGGCTTGCTCTTGCTTGTTTGTGAGAGGCAGTGCTGTAGCGACTTGGGCAATAGTTTTAAAGTCTTCATTTTTCTTATTTTAAATCATCTAATTTACAAATGTAGCACTGGGTAATAAATCCATATGCATTTCAAATCAAGTAGGCCCGAGTAATATAATTAAGAACATAAGATGACAGCCATCAGGAAGCACAGCTGATTGACCTTGATGTTCTCCTGTGCTCTGCTCACCTAAATCCTGATTGTTTCACTCACCCTCACATACTAATATGCTCATCTCTGCCAAAAGAGGAACACTATCCTCCAGTGGGCTACAATCTGTCAGGTGTTCATGCACCTGGTTGCTGTTAGCGGCCATTGATTGAACTCCTTGGGACAATGGAAGGAAATGTTGCCCAGCCCTGGGCCATCCTCATGTTTGAGTCCCGTGTTGTGACTATTGTGCCAAACTATCTGACTGAGGGTCTCCCACTCCCTTGTTGACCCTGTTCCACCAGACATGATATCCTCCTCCAGTGATTGACCGCGTGTCCACAGCAAATGAGTTAGACAATATATGAGGGTTAGCTGGCTATTAAGAAACACCGTTCTCAGCTTGACATTTCAGATATACCCATTAGAAAAGGTAGGTTATGATCCATCAGTCTTTTGAACCAGGTCTTTGAAAGGTAAGCGACCGTGGACTGGAGTTTTCCAATGTTGGAGTCTTACATTTTGAGAAACGCTTCACATAAATTGGCCTGGTACTTAGAACAACCTGTAAGGTACCTATCATTGTCTTCAGTGCACAAATGGGGAAACTGAGGACCAGAGAAAATAAAACATGGCTCTAAGCCCCACAGCTGGTTAAACACACAGCCCAATCCTTCGCAGCCCCTCTCAGCCCTCCCCACCCAGCTATTCTTTCTGCCCTCTCCTTTGCAAATAGGTCAAAACAGGATAGCAAAGCTGAACTGCCTGTGTAAGTGGGAAAGGTAAACTGTATTTTAAGAGTCTGTTTTATAAGAAGAAATGTCAATCCAGTAAATCAACACACTTTTATTGTAATGTGTAAGAAAGCCTTAGCTGGGATTATTTAAACAACCAGTACAAATAATGAAGCTCTCAGAACTAGCTAAGGAGGACTGAAAGAATCAATGCATTTGAGTTATGGTGCTGGCCAAGAATATTGGGAGTACAATGGACTGCCAGAACAAACAAGTATGTTCTAGAAGAAGTATTGCTAACATGCTCCTTGGAAGCAGGATGTCGAAACTTCATCGCACATCCTTTGGGCATGTTAGCAGGGGACACCAGTCTTTGCCAAAGGGCATCCCACTTGGTAAAGTCGGAGGGCACTGAAAAAGAGGAGACTCTTGATGAGATTAATTGGCACAGTGGCTGCAACAACTGGCCCAAAGAGAACAGTTGTGAAGATGGTGCAGGACCAGGCAGTGTCTTCGTTCTGTCGTGCACAGGGACATTGTGGGTTGGAACCCACTCAGTGATGCCCATCAACAACTGGGAACCAGCCCCATGCTCGCTGTACAGAACCTACTGTGTCTGGAGTTGGCCTGATTTTGGAAATAAGTTAAAACTATCACGAGTTTGAGAGCTTAACTTCAGTTGTTCCGGATACTCGAGGAGGATCACACACAGAGAGTCTCCACTAGACACCTGGTTCAACGAGGAGAGGACTGGCATAGTTGCCTTCCTCCATGCCAGTGGACATGGTTGAAGCTGAGCTCCATAAAGCCTCGTTTATTTGAGATAATGGAAATCCGAAAGGAGAAGTGTTTGTCTCTTGCACAAGGTTGGATGACCTCCGATCCAATGAGGAGAGCCTAATGAAGTCCGAATTGGCAGAGAGGCCTGGCTTCTCTGTGGCACAGCGGTCAGGGGCACAGAAGAGCCTCTTTGATGCAGATCATGGAGGACTTGGCAAGGCCCTCTCTCCTGTGTCTCTGCCCTCCCACAAGTAGCTCATCCCACTGGCGCGGTGGTGCTGAAGGCAGCTCCTCTCCTCCCGTCACAGATGTGGAGCGATGTGCAGTGATTTCTTCATTTAGTTTCAGAGAAAGGGTTGGGGTTTTCTCTCTCAAAGCCTATTAATGTCAAAAGAATTCATGAGTTTAGGAATCTGGGGACCTGATAAATTCACAGAGGAAATGACCACTGGTGGACAGTAGAACTAACGTCAGTCTTTTGCAACCTGCAGGGCCTGTAATTCGGTGTTTACAGCGTTAGACCACTGTCACGAAGCCATAGAAATAACGAGTGACGACCACGTGATCCAGGTAAGGAAAAGCTTCATGTCTGTAGATGTCAAAATAGAGCATTCGAAGCATGAGTCACCCTGTTTCAAGTACTGCCCCGTAATTCCCACATTTCACCCTGTTTCAAGTACTGCCCCGTAATTCCCACATTTCACCCTGTTTCAAGTACTGCCTCGTAATTCTCACATTTCAGCTTTGGAGCAAGGAAAGTCAAAGTGCGCCGAGCAGACTCTGATAGACATAAGCTAAGAACTAGGTGTTCAATAAACAATTTTTAAAATGCATTCATTCAGGTAAACACCTGGCGCTTCACTGAACAAGGAGTAAATTCTGTGGACTATCTGTGACAATGGCTAATTACACAGAACACAAGCAGAATTGTCGAGTAAATGCTATAAATGCCCAGGGAAACAGAACATTTTAAAAGATGCTTATTCAGTGACCTGCAGTTGATATTCTTATTCTAATGCACTCTTACAATGTTGTCATTTTGCTAACTGCACGCATACAGCAGAAATACCTTGGCTGACATAAAATCATATTCTATGTGTTGGAAAGTCCGTGTTAAGATTGACACCTACTAAAATCATATTCTATGTGTTGGAAAGTCCGTGTTAAGATTGACACCTACACTTGGAAAGCAACCTCTGAGGGAGACGTCCCCTGAATTGGTGCCAACCTGCCAGCTCCTAAGGAGCCTTGGTGGTGTAGTGGAGTGTTGGGCTGGTAACCACAAGGTCGGTAGTTCAAATCCACCAGCCACCCTGTGGGAGATCAATGAGGCTGTCTGCTCCCCACAAAGCTTCCCAGTCTTGGGAGCCTTAAGGAGCCATTGTACTCTGTCCTACGGTGTTGCTCAGATTCAGGATGGACTTGAGGTCAGTGGGTGTAGTTGTTGGGGTTTGGGCTGCCCGTGGATGTAGTGGCCTAGAGTGTGAGGAGCACGAGCTGTCACCAGTAATGTGCCAAGGACAGTGCCCCAGACACAGTGGCCCCACAGCGCTCTCCTCCAGCATGCTCCACACAGGCATGCCCTCCCCTCCCGCTGGGTCACAAAGGAAGTACCCCCCTTGGTCACTTCCTGTTGCTGTAACAAGCGCCCACAACCTCCGTGGCTTCAGACAACATGAGCTTCTTGTTCTGGAGGTCAGGCATTGGAAGTGGGTCTCTCTGGGAGAAAGCCGAGCCTTTTGCTGGCTCCGGGGGAGAACGCGTTTTCTCGCCCTTGCCAGCTTGGCTGCATCCCTTGCCCTACCTTCAGAGGTAGCAGTGGAGCAGTTCAAGTCTCTTAACCCCCTCGTTGCCTTCTTTCATGGATAAGGAACCCTTTGATGATCTTGGACCCACTCAAATAGTCCAGGATTATCTCCCAATCTCAAGATACCCTTTGTTTGATCGCGCCGGTAAAGTCCCTTTTGCCGCGTAACTGAACACGCTCCTAGATTCCCAGGATTCAGACGCGGATGCTGAGGCTGGGGGGTGAGGGGGCATTAGTCTCCCTGCATGCTATGTCATGGCACTTGGGTGAAGCTGTCCTCCCATTCTGTTCAGTGACCTGGGGAAGAGAGATGACCGCCCCCAGTGTCTACAGATAAAGGAGTCCCTGGAAAGCAAAGGAACTTGTCCAAGACAAAGTACAGGAGCTGAACTATGTCACCAGGGCTTTTGACTGCCAAGCCCTCTCCCCACCCTGGAAATGGGGCTGGGGACTTCCTCGGGTTGCTGCCTTTCCCTGATCCGCCTGCCCTTGCTGCTGCCCCCTGGACCATGGCGAAAGCCGATGTGTTTCCTTCGCAGACGAGATGTGGGATCGCCCACCAAGGTGTTGGACTGTCCAGGCTGGAGCAGCACGCATTGTCTCTGTGCGTCCCCCTCTTACCGTCATGGGAGGCTGGAGGGGGCTTTCAGGGATGAGGAGAAAGGGTGCCTTGTCCTTTCCCCCCCTTCCCCGCTTGTCATCTGAGGAGAGCCACTTCTAACAGGGAAGCAGAGGCCTTCTCCATGCCAACGCCGGCAGCTGGCATTGGAAAACATGGATCTCCGGGAGAAGGAGTGTGGTGGGGGGGTCACGAGATGCCCACAGGCACTGCTTGACCTTGGCCAGTAGCAGGAGGAAGCAGGGTGTGAGGAAAGGGAGGGGGAGGGAGCGGCACTGTGTGACGAGGAAACAACCCTTGCACCCACCGCCACCGACCACTGCCCACTCAGGGTTACTGCCCCTGGGAGGTTTCTGAAACGGTGACTTCTAACAAGAGTAGAAAGCCCCACCTTTCTCCCAAGGATCGGCTGGTGGTTTTGAACCGCTGACCTTGTGCATCACAGCTCAATGCACAGCCACTAGACCACCGGAACACCTTATGTGAACAGGACAGGAATCCTGACATAAGACACTTCTCGCTTGACCACTCTTTTTTTTTGGACCTCAGGGACCCACCTCCTCCCATGGTGAAAACTCCCTCAGCAGTGTCAATGCAAAGCTCTCACACAGCGGGTAGGAGGCTGGCAAAGGAAAGAGGATGCTGGAGGCAAGAAGTGGGATCGTGGGTTATGTACTGGGCTTCTAACGGCAAGGTCAGCAGTTCGAAACCACCAGCCCACTCCACAGGAGAAAGGGGATGCTGGAGGCAAGAAGTGGGATAGTGGGTTATGTACTGGGCTTCTAACGGCAAGGTCAGCAGTTCGAAGCCACCAGCCACTCCGCAGGAGAAAGGGGAGGCTTTCTACTCCGGTAAAGAGTACAGTCCTGGAAACCCACAGGGGCGGTTCTACTC